TAAGTATTGTGTTAGGTATAATATAATATATTCTATATTATATATCAATATGTAATATTATATTATAACCAAGAAAATACTTAAATTTTTGATACAGAAATAAAATAAGAACAATAAAGTAAATGTGTAGGAAGAACAAAAAAACATTTTTAAAAATTATATAAGTTATATAATACAGAAATATATAAGTATTGTGTTAGGTATAATATAATACATAACATATACTATATATGATATATATTATATGTAATATATATATTATATCCAAGGTAGAATTCTTACAGTTTTAATAAAGAACAATATGAACAGAATAAACAATTTTAATAAAAAAATACGAATATATATTAATAAATTATAAAACACAAATATATAATACAAACCCCATACTTATATTAGATTCAAACTATTACATTATATAAATACAAACAATACTTACATCAGAATCAAACTATTAAATTAAAAATACCTATCATTCATTTCAAAATACCCCAATACCAACTACCAAAAATTAAATAATTAACAATCCAAAAAAAAAAAAGACAAAAAGTAATAAATTAGATCTTTCCCATTTAATTTTGAATAAATCAAAATAATTCGTCAAACGTTTCAGATAATTTAACCACCATCTATTTACCGATATAACAGATCCTTCTTTTTCTTTCCTCATCGAAGACGCATTGTTTCATTTAAAAAAAAAAACCAAAAGAAACGAAAAATAGACAGAAAAAGAGAGGGGGGGGGTAGTAACAAACCCAGTGATAGAAGACGTGAACGACGATAATGCCACTGTTTCGATTCCCCAGTGAAATATATCGATTGACCAAGCTTTCGAGGACTATAATAGAAGACCCGTTTCGTTGCTTCGAGTGAACTAGAGATGGGATTGAAAAAAAAAAAAAAAAGAGAAAAAAAAGAAACAAATAAAAGAGAGAAAGAGTAAAGCAAGCAAGACAGCAAGAGCAATTTTTCATTTCATTTCTCTCGATGCTACGAAGTGGTTGATTATTTCATGAGTATCATTCTTCTTCTTCCCATCTTTCTATTTACATTTCTATATATACATATATACCTATATATAAAGTACATATTAGAGTCAATATACAGAATAAACATTAACCAAAAATTGGTTGAGTGTGTATAACTTTGAACATATTTTTTTTGTTTCATACATTATGCTATCAATTTTTTAACATGTAATATATATGAGAAAATACCCTAAAGGGTTTTGATTGATTTATAAGATTTACATCTAAGTTAGGTGTATTTATTGGATAAAAAGGAAGGGGTGGAGTAATGAAGAAATTTTTAACAGAAAATATGAGCAATAAGTATGAACTACTTTATAAAGTATTATAGTTTTATTACAGTAAAAAGTTTAAATTTATGTATATAATAAATATTATATACAATAATATATAATAAAATATATAATAAATAATTAAATATATTATATACAATATAATATATATATACATTTGAAATTATATATTAATTATATATTTAAATTATATACCTTTTAATATATTTTATTGCATACCTTAATATACAATTAAATAATATATTATAAAATATATAATAAATAATAAAATATATATAATAGATAATAAAATATATATATATATATATATATATATATATATATATATATTTTTATATTTTAAATTATATACCTTAATATATATAATTAATAAATAAAATATAATCTCTAATAACCTTAATATATAAAAATGTTTCTTTAGGTTAGATTTTATTAGGACCTTTCTAAACAAATTTATTTTTTATTTTTAATGATTTTGTTAGATGGACAAATTTAGCTCAAAATAAAATTAAAAAAATTTATTTAACAATTTTATATATCACAATATTATTATTCATGAATTCGATTGATAGAATTGAAATAACTTGAACATGTTTTTAGTTAGAAAACGTATAATCTCGTATAATTAATCGGATAAGACAAAACAGGTGTTAAGTAAATGAATATTTAGACAGTTTATAGTCATCGTTGGTAAATATTTGAAGTAGTCTATACTTCCGTGTAATAATACCTTACTCCCTAAAGACTAAAGATAGTAAACTTTTAGTTTGAATTTTCTTAACGTTTTAGAGCTTACTTAGAATTCAAACTTCGAATGAAGAAATTTAATCTACTGATCGAAACTTTATAATCCAAAAGTGTAGATACAATATTATATAGATTGCTTTAGAAACTCGATAATATAATATAATATAATATAATATAATAATCTAATTAATTATATAACGAATTGAAGAAAAGGTAAAAGAATATTTGGGGTGGGGTGAAAAATTAATATGAAAGAAATGTAGAAAGTTAAAAATTGAAACAAAACAAAAAAAAAGAAGAAGATTCAATCGTTTTTTTTTCTCTCGATCGAAACAAGAGCCTTTTATTGTTTAAATAATAATAATAATAATAATATCAAATATTGATTAGTTAAATATTATCTCGACTCTAATCGCTGGTCTCTTTTTTTCACACAAACGTCGAAATATTTGTAAAAAAAAAAAATAAAAAAAAATAAAAGAAAAATTTTCTTCTCGTCAAATAAATGAAAATATGAGAATATGAGACAAAGAGAGAATGAGAGAATGAAAGTGTGTGTGTGAGAGAGAGAGAGAGAGAGAGAAAGGTACAACAAAATAAAACATTCTAATCTATTGTATCAAAAGAAAAAAAAAAGAAAAAATAAGAAGACTCTCCCTAAAAAGAAAAACAAAAAGAAAAGAAAAGAAAAGAAAAGAAGAAAAAGAAACAAAAAAAAAACGTTCATAATAACATTGAACAAAATTTAAGGGTGGCGTGTGCTCTGTTGTTTAAGAAAACTCAATGAGAATAATACTGAAACGAGATAACACCAACGAGCACAGAAGTATTCGTGTGTATGTGTATATGTTTGTGAAAAGGCACGATGTGATGAAAGAATGTTAGAGAGAGAAAGTATTTGTGTGTGTGTGTGTGTGCATGTTTATGTAGAGGAAAAAAAAAGAATAAAAATTCAATGTGTAATAATAATAATAATAATAAATATTATTATTTTATATAGTATATTATAAATAATATAATATACATTTAATGTGTGTGTAATATAAATTATATTAAATTAATAATATGTAATAATCAATTTAATAAATTAATTGTTTATTAAATTTATAATTTGTTAATAAATAATATAATAATTTAAAAAAATATTAAGTTATTTATTTTATATTAATTTTTAATAAAATATAAATCAATAAAATTAATATATTATAATTTTATATTATTTAATTATACTAGAATTAAATAAATAATATAATAATTTATTTAATTGATTAATTTTAAATTATATTACAATATACGTATTATATATTAATATTTATATTAATTTATTATATTCAATATTAATATTAATTATTATTATTATTATAAAAATACAATAAAACTTAATCATAAAAAATGAAATAAAATAAAATATTAAGGAGGAAAAAAAAGGAGAGAAGAAAAAAATGAACCAAAGTCAAGAAACACAAAAAGAGTAAGAAAAAATGTGGAATAATTATTAAAAATAATAATTAAATAAATAAACAAATAAACAAACAAAACAAGAGAGCACCTTTGGTATTGTGCACGCCTGAATGTCTGTGTGTGTGTGTGTGTATGTATATGTATGCGAATATGAGAATGAAAAGAAGATAATAATAATAATTTCATAATATATTCTTAATATTAATATTATTATTATTATTATCATAATAAAAAAAAAAAACAAACAAATAATCAATGATAACAAATAAAAATAAAATCAAAAATATTAACGAGAAAAATTGATAGAAAAATAAAAAAAGGAAAGGAAAAATATAACCAAAGACAAGAAACACAATAAAAAAAAAAAAGTAAGAGAAAAATGTGTGGATAATTATTAACAATAATAAACAAAACTAAAACAAAACAAAACAAAACAAAAAAAAAGACGGCTTGGTATCGAATCGGAAGTACAAAGTAAGCTCGAACGCCGCAGCGCCCAGAACCACTAATGTGCTCGCTCGCAGCGCGGACGGCAACTTCGAGGTGACCTTGGCCACCAAGGCCACAATCTACCATCAAGGATTGGTCGAGTGGAAGCCCCCGGCCATTTATAAGTCATCCTGCGAGATCGACGTGGAGTACTTCCCATTCGACGAGCAGACCTGCGTCCTCAAGTTCGGTTCGTGGACCTATGACGGCTTCAAGGTAACACTCGCATGCTAGCCGTTAAGTCAAAATTAATTATAATAATAATAATAATAATAATATATATATGTATACACACAAAAAATATATATATATATATTATCTTAAAATATAAATATGTAAAAAATAACAATCCCAATAAGCACCCAAGCCCCTACTGAAGGCCCCGCAAACAAAACCCACGAGCAAAAATGGCCCATCAGTTATTTGTATTATCATTTTATATATATATATATATAGTGAGTAATAAATCACCTAAGTTATCTCTAAACAAAGTAGAGATATTATTATTTAAATAATAATAATAATCACTTATATATATATATATGAAAAAAGGGAGATCGAAAATGAATTTGAAATCAATTCGATTTCTCTGACGATACACGGAACCATTGATAAATATATTATATATTATTAACCCATTAATATTTATTTTAATTAATTAATTAATTAATTTTTAGATGATAAGATCAACGTTAGAATAAAAAACTGTTATCGAATAATAGAATTTGTTTAGCGGTGTTATGACGTACGATCGGTTGTTACGGATCAATAAAACCAACTCTTTTTTTTTTCTTTTTTATTACGAAACAATGAAAAAGAAGAAGATAATAATAACAATAATAATAATAATTGTTTGTATTATGATTTGTTATTTTTCTTTTCTTTTTATTATTTTGTTATTGTTTTTTCTTTGTTCTTCTTCTTTTTCTTGTTGAATTAGAAGCCGATCGTGATCACGTTCGGCACGTTTCTTCGGTGATTACAGCGCAGATGGGAACTACGAGGTGACACTGATGACCAAGGCAACTGTCCACAGTACAGGATTGGTCGTATGGCAACCTCCAGCTGTTTATAAGTCTTCCTGCTCCATCGACGTTGAGTTCTTTCCGTACGACGTACAGACCTGTGTTTTGAAGTTAGGCTCCTGGACCTATGACGGTTTTAAGGTGCCACGATATTCATATCGGAGCACGATCATCTCGCAGATTCCTTCCTTTATCTTTTTATTTCTATTTTCTTTTGATTTTTCCGCTCGTGAATTATTCCATGTGTGTAATACATATTTATACATACATAGATATTAGTATGACAATTTATTTTTGACAGTGACCTAAGTCCAATAATTATTTTTCTTTTGTATTGGAAGTACTTTTTTTTATGTCAATTTATTTCAAAGTTGCAGATTTTACGGTTAACAGTAATATATTAATATGTTTTTTTGTGAAAATTAATTTTACAGTTATCAATTTTATTACGGTTAACAAAAATATATTTCATCGGTCGCCAATGATGATTGTCAGTAACCATAAATTGTAAGTGATTTCAGTAAATATGCAACAACAAAAATATTCAGTATTATAAGAATAAATTATTATTTATTAGAAATTGTTTATATATTTTTTTTGAAAGAGTACTATACAAATATATGAAATTATTTAATTAATAAAAACATATTTTTATTTGTAAATCACTTCTTACTTGACTTATGACCGATAAAGGGATATTAATGTTGACTTAGGCTACTTTCAATATAAATGATTCATATATATTTAAGTATATAAATATGTTGGCACACAAATATGCATAATATATATTTAATTTATATACAGGGTGATTCACAAGCCCTTACCATCTAAATAACTTAAAAAATATGATAGTAGCACAAAAGTGGATACAAAAGAAGTTGCATGAAAAATTTAGTATTATAATATGGTATTACTATTGTTTTGATAAGTTGAGTAATTTTCATGATTTAATGGTCAACTTTGTTTTTTTAAATGCAATGTTATATTTAAATACTTATTTTCGGATAGCGGCTTTCAAGACGAATCCAATGATATGCAACATTAATATTTTTGAAAGTCAACGAAAGTAAAAATTTGCGAACAAGTCGTGTCACGATACAGTTCTTTCGCTTCAGATGGCGCTGTGGTCGTGTTAGGTGGCGCCATGGTCGCGTCATTCTTCAGTTGTTTCGACAAAAGACGTTTTTGAAAGTTTTTATTGCTCATTCTCAGGTTTTATATTTAATGTTGCATATCATTGGATTCGCCTTGAAAGCCGCTATCCGAAAATAAGTATTTAAATATAACATTGTATTTAAAAAAAACAAAGTTTACTACTAAATCTCAAAAATGGCTCAACATAGCAGAAAAATACTAATATCATGTTTTAGTCCTGAATGTTTCATGCAATCTTTTTTTATCTACTTTGTTGCTACTGTCATATTTCCGGAGCTATTTAGGTTACAAAAGTTGGTGAATCACCCTGTATATATATTGTTTCCAAACTGATTGTTTTTTCCTATTATAAATATGATTTTATTCCATTTTGTTTTTATTTCCTCGTAGTTTTATTTATCAGCGTTTCTCCTTGCTCCTTTTCGTTGAGTCTCGTTGAGAATGCATTCTCTTCACGTTGTTTATGATTATTAAGGATTTGCTGCTCTTTGGCCGTAACTCGTGTGACTTATGATTTCAATATATGATATATATTATAGTTTACATATTATGTATATATATATATACATATATATATACATATATATGATATATGGTTGTTGGACTTGCGGTGTGTGATCTTGATTATAATTAATAATTAATAATTACATTATATATGGCAATGATGAACGATTTTAAGTTGTGTGTTTTTTTTTAATTTTCTTTTTCTTTTACCACATCCGAATTTATTCTTAAAAGTTACGCTATTATTTTAAATTATTATAGTGTTTCTCATAAAGAAAATATTTTATCTTCATTTTTGCTCGGCAAACATTTTAGTATTCTTTTTGTCTATGTGTGAGGATCGAATTAAAAATTTTATTTTTTGTATTTTTAATTATTTATTAGTTAATTATTTAATTAAAAAATTGTTTACATAGGTCACAGTAACTTTCATGTAATTTGTCAATGATGTATGCAAAAATAATTTTTGAATAAATGAACTTTAATGAAACACTTAACAAACTTACAATTAAAAATAATTATTTTAATAATAATTATGTAATAATTTAGATCCTCGCATTGACAAAAAGTAAGCTTTTAATAGCAACGATAAAAAAAAAAGTATCGCGTAATTTTTTCTCAAGATAAAATTTCAAATAACGAATCAAAAATAAATTTATAGTTGAATTTTCTTTCTTTTTATTATTTTTTTTATTTTTACAGTTTGTTATTTTATAGTTGTATAGTTATAGTCCTACGTATGATTATTATACATAGGAAATTTAGAATACTCGACGCATTTAGTGGGAAAGGTATAAAATTTTTAATATTTTATATAAAAAAAGAAATATAAAAACGAAAGAACAAAAATAATTTCATAATTATTTAATAAAATGTTCAATTAATTGAATTAATCGATTAATAATCAATAAAAACTTTATGAACATGTTCTATTTTCACCCCCTCCCCCATCCACCTGCCCTCGTTAAATGAAAAATTTCAATTGAATATTATTATAAATTTGTATAAAAATATGACTTTGAGATAGTATTGAGAATAATTGTGTGTATGTATATGTAAATATATGTATACGAAAACGTAATGTTGATTGGTTACATTACGAAATTCTGTTCCATTGACCGCAAAACGTGAAATTCTCTTCGTACAACACACTGTATATATACATGTCCAGCTCTAAATTAGTATTGTTTGTGTTGTTGGTGTTACTATTGTTAACAGGAAAGGAACCTTTATAGAGAATCGTATATAATTTAACTATGAATTATATAACAGCGGTTTTGAATCGTTATTGTTGCAAATATGAAAACAGAACACTATACACGTATTGAGGATTTGAAGTTCGATTAGGTGTCCTCTGATCTTGCTAAGTGTTACGAATTATAGATAAATTTTCTAAGTATAGTTAGTAATGTCTAACTGATTATACTAATTCTTGAGTAGATTATTGAACATGTAATTAATTGAAATAATATTTTGTCATTGGAATTTTGAAATTCTTTGTTTTGTCACACATATTTGATTTTCAATTAATTTTATGAGAATGATTGAAGGAAGATAATATAGTAGATGGGTACCCACTTTTTAGGTTATGATGTTCAAATTTTGATAATATATTTTGATATTTAAATATTACAAATAATTTTGTGTTAATATTGTTTACATAGAATTTTATTAAAGATTTATCCAAATAAAATATAAAACACTACTTGTTCAATGTTCAAATTATCTTAATACAATTTATGATATTATTAAAGATTTATACAGTGGATATACTACTTGTTCAAAGATCAAATATTATTAATATTAATCTAATTTATAGTATTAAATATAAAAAATAATTTTGTGTTAACATTAATCACATAGAATTTTATTAAAAATTTATACAATTGGTATATACAACTTGTTCAATGTTCAAATTGTTTCAAGTAGACTGTATGATATTAAATATGAAAAATAAGATTATGTTAACATTGATCATACAGAATATTATTAAATAACAATTGTATAAAATGTTGAATCTAAATAAGTAATAGTAATAGTTATATTAACTATGAACATTTATTTGTATAAATGATGAATCTAAGATTGAAAGTAATTTTGGTCAGTAGAATAGTTATACAGTAAATTATTGAAATTCATATGAATGTGTTGTCAAGAACAGACATTTATACATTTAGAAACTAAATATTAATTAACTTGGAAAGTGATTATGTTGGATAGTACTGTAAATACCATTGATATATTTTAAACCAAATGTTCAAAGTTAACAAATAGCAATACAAATTATTATTAAACATTATTTGTATTATATATGTTTATTATAAATTGATATTATGATTACAATGTTAACATAAAATTATTGTTCTTATTTAATGTCCTAAAAAAAATATTAACAAAATTTGAATATTAAAAAAATATTAAAATATATTTAAATTCACTAACAACACAAAACAATTTTGAATAAATCATCTATCGATACAAATTTAAATTTAAAATTAGGGGTTTCCCATTTTTCTCATATAACTCCAATGAAAAACTCAATTAATTCCAAAATTATTTTCCACATTTTTGATTATATTTTCTACTCTCGATATACCCATTTAACATCTAATACGGCCCTGTATTATCGCACGAGTGGACATTCCGAAGGTTAAATCGAAGTATCGATCAACCGGAACAAACATCTTCCACCTACTTGACACAGTTAACACAGTAAACTTTCCATTGACTTCACCTTCCAAATCATTTCTCTTTTGTTAACATATATATATATACATGTGTGTATATATACATGTACTTATGAAAAAAAAAATATATATATATATAGAAGGAACCATTAACCTTCGTTTCGTACTTTACTTTCCATTGTTTCCTTAATGATCTGACAATGAAAAGAAATCTCAAAAAAGAAAAAAAAAAGAAATTTAATTACTTCAAACCTAAATTTAACTTCCAACATGAAAAAGAAAAAAACAACAACAACGTTACATTCAAATAAAAATTACCAACTTAAAAAAAAAAAATCATCACCCTAATTTTAGTATTCACATCTCATTAGAATATCATTCGTTCAAGTATAAAATCATAATAATAATAATAATAATAAACAAAACAAAAACACACACACCCCATAGAAAAAAACACACATACATTTAGACACACATATATATTTCTTAAAACACATTTTACGTTTACATTTTTACAAAAATTTTCCATCTCTGACTATTTCACTTATGGTTGCATCTTTTACCATTACTTATACACACATGTAGTTCATTGGTTGTATAAAGATAGAAAGAGAAAGAGAGACACATACACAGTGAGAATGAGAGAGAGAGAGAGAGAAAAGGGATCGATATTTCGTTGCATGTAGTATACTACATGTAGGGAGAATTCTATACGCTTATTTCAACGCGTATCTCTTCGTACCAGGCTTAAAGCTCGCATAAGCTTTTGTAAGCATCGAAAGAGAGTGAGTGTAT